ACTTAGAACATTCTGCATAAAACAAAAATGATGTGACATCTGTTAAAGTTATCAAACCAGGATCAGTTCATGAGCTGTGAATCTCATGGATATTACAGCTGCAAGGACACCAGCACCAGATCCTTACTCAGTCCACAAATCGCTCCTTTTAGATTAGCTGTCTCTGTTCAAAGTCCTTAGATTGTCCTTAGATTCCACATTCCTTTTTTGTCCCCGGGATACTGAGATCTGAGGCATTTCTGGTTACTGGGTGTTTTTGTGCCGGACAGACTTTACACTACTTTGCTATTGAAGATAGTGATCATACATTAATAACACAAAAAGTACAGTTACCTGTACTACATGGGTATACAATTTATTGTTCTACATCTGCTCCCTCACAAGCTCCCTTTCATTCCCCTCTACTTCAGAGATGCCCTACAACTCTCTCCACCTTCTCTCCCAGGCCAGAGGCTGTCCCTGGCTTTGCATTCTCCCCCATGCCAGGGCTTCTATGTGGGTGCATTTTTCTCCTGCTACCCTCCTCAGTTAGGCAGAACAGGGGCACAGCTGGTGCCCATCCTTTCCCTCTGTCTCACCATCAAGCAGGATTTGGGGAGGCAGTGTGTTTACAGGGAAGCAAAGAATGAAGTCTCTTCTCTCCCTACCTCTCCCCATTGGCTAAGCTTCCTCCTCACAGGTCACAGCAAGGAGACCAAAAGACAAGTTGTCAAGTCCAAATAACTTTTGCTGATTTGAAAGAGGGTTTCTGGTGATTCTAGCATGAGTCCCTCAAATTTTAGAATTGATCAGATATGTGGAATTAACAGATTATCACACACATATATGAAATAAACTGGACACATGGCCAGGGAAAGTGAGAAATACCTTCAAGTAGAGATGGCCAATGTGTGTTTAAGCTCACTGCTACTGCTTCAGCTGTCAGCTACAATGCAGACCTAGTGTCATGTGTAGAGGCAGCCTTAGGGGTACATGGGATTCGCAACTGCCCAGGGTGTTGTGGTCAGAGTGGGGTGCACATCTGTGAGCAGCCCATGCTCACAGCAGTGCTCTCCCCCTGGCCCGTGTGTGACTAGCATGCATATATTCCTTGTTAGAATTCAACCACTTATCGTTTAAGGTTCCAAGTAGGGGTGCATATGGGGATTGATGTTGTGGGAGGGGAAGGCTGCCTCTAGAGCTGTGGTTTTCAACCTTTTTTAATCTGTGGATGCCTAAAAAACTTAAAATGGAGGTACAGACCCTTTTAACTAGTAAGTGTGGCTGTTCACATATTTTTGATTGATCATAGGCAACTTTTGTGGACCCCTTAGACATAGTCTGTGGGCCACCAGGGGTCTGTGGACCACAGGTTGAAAACCACTACTCTAGAGTCTTCCCTTACGAGGTTTAAAAAGTTGGTGCAATCTATTACACACCAAGTGGTGCTTGTCCTATGACCTTCATTCCTCATGGTACTAATCTCATTTGTAGCCTGGTCTGGCAACCAGGCCTGATATATTCAGTTAATGTGAGATTTTTGCTGAGCTTCTAGCTTCCATGAGGATGTATACACTTATGATGACACTTTCACTATACTGAACAGGTAACACAATGCTGGTACCTCTAAGAAGGTTGATATGTTGATCCTGTAGAACTCATTTTTTCTTTCTTGTCCATACAACAGGGAACCACACACAGACATGAACGCTGCATGCCCCCGGAGGCTGGGGGGGCATGGTGAGCTCCCACCAGCAGCAGCAGTGCTGTCAGTGGCGGAAGAGTGGCGGCAGTGAGTGGTGAGCTCCTGCAGGCAGCAATGCCACTGTCGGCAGCGGGGAGTTTGTGTGTGGGGGGGTGACAGGCACCGACCAGTGGTTGGTGACCACCTGCAGACACTGCTGGTGGTGTTGGTTGCAAGGGGGGGTGGCATGCAGCGACTGCCCGCAGGCGCTGCCAGCAGTGTCGGCAGTGCTTTTTGCAGGGCGGTACACTGCCAATCTCAGGGGGTGCACCTGCACCTGCATGCACACCCTACATATCGCCAATGCACATGTAATATTTAATCACCCTGGCATGTTCATTCCATATAGATGTTATTTTAGGAGTATACTCTTAAAATCTCAATGAAGAAAAAGGAGAAATAGGTTAGTATGGTATTGCCAGGCTATCAAGATTCACTAGAATGGGAATCTCCCTTTTCACAGGAAAGAATAACACAAGTCTTGTATCTTGGGCAATAGTAATCTGTATGTCAACCATACTTACCCAGCAGGTTTGATTGGGTTTGGTATCTGAGACACTTTCCTTTGGGAATCTCTAACAAGTGACTTTATTGACCCAAAACAGTATTTTGAAAGTATTGTTTCAGTAGCCATAACTATAAAGCACATCTATAGCATCAATTCCCAAAGGGTATGCTGTGGCACACTACCATGTCACAAGTAGCTTAGAAGTATGCTGTGAAACATGACATGTTATCAGTATCAGGTTTTGCTGTGGAGCTCCCCACAGGTCCGGAAAGTTGGTGGTGCAGGAATGATGGCAGTCAACACCATTGAGTTCCCCTGCTCCCTGTTGCCTAATTTCTAAGTCCCACATGGTGAGGTCAAGCCCCAGCCATGTTGGCCCTGCACAGTGGGATCTGGCCCTGGCTCAGGCTCTGGCCATGCCAACCCTGTGCAGCAGGATCGGATCCAAACCACAGGCCAACCCAACACTGCTCAGCCACTCCACAGGGCCAAAAGTTCAGCACTACTGTGCAAGTCATATACACACACATACTGTTGAAGTAGACTTATCCAGGCCCCTCTAACTTGACTATAAATTTATCCAGGCCTCTATCTGACTATAGATCAATCCAGGCCTCTAACTTAACTAAGGAAAAAGAGTAAGAAAAAAAATGGTCTTGCTTTGTATTTTAAAATGTTTTAAGATAAGAAAAACTCTTCTGCTTATTATGACTCCATGCACAGTTCTTTTGGAACAAATGTTCTTCCTTTCCTAAAAACAAAAAAGGTGATAACAGTTTTCAAAACAAAACGTGCTGCTGAGCAAGCAACTGTTATGATTTACCCTGACTTTCTTTTCAAGGATGCTTTGTTTAAACAATTTTAGGTATAAAAAGGTATGCTAACTTGTAGAGGGGAGGAGTTCTGTTAGATCTCCTCCCTATGATCGTATGGTATAGTCACCAATAAACTCAGACTGAGACTGTGAATTCTAATACCAAACACAATGTGAAGTTTGATTTCTTCCACAATACATACACCTTTCTGGGTGGAAGAGTGAAGTGAAGTGTGCAGCCAATTTTAATCCAGAGGAAAACTGTATCCCAGATATAAAAAAAACTGGGAATCACTGATCACTGATCTAGAGAAATGACAAAACATCTACACAATGGCTACCTTAATGAGAGTTCAAGGCAGATCTATCTCACCCTGGACGCCCAGGAATAGATCCAAATAATTTTCTTACAGGCTGCAACTTGTTTAAAAATTAGGCCTCTTGCCCCAGAAGGGCAATTCAAATTGGAAAATGCATCTAAACTCCCATTCCTTCTTGAAGCTTAGGCATCTAGGTCAGGGCTACAGATTTGGTGCCCATATCCTCTTTGATCCAAGCCACACTGAAAGGAGGTGCCTCCCTGAGAGAGTTCATCACAAAGTCCAGTGCCCCATGTTCACTTCTGAATATGATGGTGGTGGTACCACTTTACCTCTTGCAGAATAGGCTTGTAGCTGGAGTACTTGCCCAGAACACAGCACACCTGGATTCTAGGCACTCATCAGGCTAATGTGACCCAACATATCTCTCCTGCTTCTCAGGAGAGTTTCTTAACCTATAGGTGCCTTCGCCTTGGGTAGGTACCCTCTATACCCCTCCTTCAGAAGATGGGTCACTGGGCAGCCAAGAGCAAGAGTGATTGGTGCCTCCTGAATTTGGGGGGGGCACCCGCAGAAGCCACTGATGGTGGCAGCCCTTTCAGGGGGTCAACAGCCCTGCAACAGTATCAGTGTTGGCCATCAGAGGGGGCACCAGCCCCTTCGGGGGGGCACATGCACCCCTATGCACCCAATACCAGTCACCTATGGCCAAGAGTGGAAGTTTTATGGGGCTGTAAGGAGAACAAACATGAGAGTGCTTGACTCTGTAGCCAAGAAGTAGATATGCCTCTAGGAGGAGGGCATCTTGAACCCTAGTCCCTTTTTGTGAGGATGGTTTATGCATTTTAGACCAGTCAAAAAGCACAAAAAACCCTAACAGAAGGAAATAGAGCTAAGTACTCCCCCTTTCCCTGAGACCCTCCTCACTTGGGTACAGAGTGAGGCTCCCTCCTGCTTACTCCCCTTCTAGCTCTATAAATCTTGCACTGAAATAAAACACAAAAATAGTTAAGACACACTTAAAATCAAACATAGGGTCCAGCTAGACATGTCTCATTCTTATTTAATTCATTAAGACCTTTGCAAACAACTAAGTTGCTTTGTTGAAGTGAAAGTGATTTCATAGTTTCATAGTTTCTAGGGTCAGAAGGGCCCTGAGTAGTTCATCTAGTCCGACCCCCTGCCATGGCAGGAAAGAGTACTGGGGTCAAAAGACCCCAGCAAGGCATGAGCATCTTGCATAAAAGCCTGAGTCCATCCCAAATCAGAGAACTGTGGATCCCTATCATCTCAAACATCAGTGACTTGAGGAGCCTGCAGCATCCAGGTTGCTATGGGGAGAGCATTAGTGCCAAGACAATATGTAATGGACTAGAAGAACCCGTAACAATATATATTCTCCACCAGGCCTAGTAAAGATTCTGTGATCTGATTTTTATAAAATTTCCTTCAGAAATAAAGCATGTGGCTATGTAATACAAATCAAGTCAATTTACCCCATAGTAAATGTTTCATTTGTTCACATTCACAAAGTGAACTCCTGGCTCCATTGACATAAACAGCAAAACCCCATTGACTTCAGTGAGACTAGAAATTCACCCATGGTCAGATAACTTAGTCTCAGCATTAACATTGTATTACAAGACTTTGAAAAAAGTGTATTTTTTTTAATAATTTTTTTAAATGTCAGTAAGGCCAAAGCTTTTGGGGATTGGTTAATACTGTATTTTCTTGCATACAAACACAGACCTTTTTTTTAGTCCATTTTTATATGCTGAAACATTTTAATACACAATTTCCTTTGATTCAGTTTCTTAGTAAATTGATATACCCACATCCAGTCACACTAAGAAAATACATTTTCAAACGAAGTTTTGACTAGTTAATTAACTGTCCCGTTAAGAATGACATTATGGAAGGCAGGTGTGGTATCCTGCTCATGATTAAAATCTGGAAAGCACCAAAGCTAAGGCAGAAAAAATGTTAGGGTTATATTAGTAGGCAGTGCTATTATTATGCAAGTCATAGGAAGATGATTAAAAAGTAGGGTCCTTTTCTGCTCTTAATGGCTTTTTTTTTTTTTATACTCCAGAGGGACTGACTCTACATGCCTTTTGTGCTCTCCAGAAAGTTTCCTGTTTGGATGTGACCTTGTGCAGCTCATTTTGACTTGTTGGAACTCACTAAATCTGCCACTGGGTGGAGTTTGTGGCTCATAAGAAAGCTGAGGATACCATGAACTGAGGATTAGTGTGTCCTTTGATGTCTTAGCAGGATGCTCTTTAGTTAATAATGGCCTACTAAAGTTATTTACAGCGACTGAGGAGCCAGAGAGAAGCTTTTTATCTCTAGTAGGAATAAGCTAGAGGAAAGAAGCCTATGGAGACAAAGAACTCTTTTTCCCTTTTGACTAGGGAGAGAATGGAAAAAGGGCTACTATAACAAATACATAGGGAGACCACCTGTCGTTTCCTCTCTGAATGCTGTATGAACTGCCCCTAACTTGCCTCTGCATACAAGAGGCATGAGGATTCCTCTGCCACTTGGCAGATTAAGATTTGCTGGCTGTACTTTTTAAAATAAAGGCATTGAGTTCTTAGATTCCCTCCTGCACAATACAGCCTGCTACCTTTGCAACCCTAGCAGTAAAAAAAGTAGAAACTGAGAAGAGGTACTAAATGGGGTGAGGTTGCACAAGGAGTTAACTTACATGTGCCTCCAATTTCACAACTGTTGGGACACCCCCCAGCAAAATTAATTTTGAAGTTACAATCACTATTTGATTAGCATGTTAAGCATTTATTTTTTCCTCATCTGTCATAATAATCATGAGAATTTTAGTTTGTCTGAAAAGAGGAAACTTTAAGTCACCTAGAATTTAAAATCCTCTTCGCTTGAAATACTTTGCTCGAATAATAACATTATTAACATAATCATTGCCTCCACTGCAATAGTCTCTTCCATCATAGACCTGGATTTTCCAGTCCCTCGAATGATAGGCACAAAGCCCCCCTGTAATGGGACAAAGATAGTTAATGTAGATTTAAACATGCATAAGAAATCAATAATAAATAAATAGTAGTAGTAGTTATATTGTGTTACAGGGAAGCTATTGGGTACTTTAGGACGTGAGAAGTAGGTTCTGAATTGTGGTGGTAGCACTATTGTTTAGTTGATAGAGGTATGGGGCACATCTACACGTGCATTAATGCACCATTGTACCGCGCATTAAGTTTAGTGCCTGTAATAACAGGTACCAACATAATGTGCAAGTAACTGGCACTGCTGCACAGTAGTGCTGGCACATGCCTTTTTAGTGATGCTAATGTGCAGTAGACTAATTCTACACCTCATTAGCACAATGATGCCGCTTTTGCTGTGATGCACTAATGCACAATAGAATTAGTCTACTGCACATTTAGTATCTCACGTAGATGCTCCCCATGGAGTTCTATGTTTAGAAGTAGCTGTGCTACTTGCCTGCTGTCCCCTCACTTGTCTTTTCAGATTAGAAACTCTTCAGTTTTGTGCCATAGCAAAGGTCCTGTAGTGTAAGGACAGGTCAGTGGGCAAGCAGGGCATAAGCCCTCTATTGCCTAAGGCACGTGTGTGTGGGGGGGGGGTAGAGGGCATCAGAATGGACTAGGGAGTGCCTCACCCTCCCACCCTCTACTCCCTTTGCACTTTCCAGCCCCAGCAGCAAGTTACCATGCTGAGTGTGTATAAGCAAACTGTAGGGAATTCTGGGAATTGTAGTTATACAGAGCAGTAGTGGAGGTGATTGCTGCTAGGTGGAGACATAGCCACATGTTTTTTGCCCTCTAAATCAGGAGGCTTTTTGCCCACTCAACATGGGCATCTGTGGCAAAAAAAATTAGGTGCCATCTCCCCTCAGCCTCAGCAAACTTCCTTTCTTACTCCTAATGCCAGAGCCAGAAGGTACAGGGGGAAGGGAGAAGAAGGACTGTTTTGGATGTAGTCTTTGTCAGTTATACCTCCGATAAGGTCTCTGATATTGCTGGACACCTCTGTGCATTACAAAAAAAGAAGTAATAATTTTGTAAGTTGTAAAGAATGGGGTTTTACTTAATAAAATATGAAGGCTCTTGTGAGATTTAACTGCTGATAAAAGATAAATATTTTCCTTTTCATGTAAACCTTTCCTTGGAAACCCAATACCATGTTACGTCATGTGTGGTCGCCAGAAAATGAAACTGCACATAAAGGCAGAAAGAAGCTGCCTTATGGGCCATGCTAAAAGCATTCATGGTGAAAGCCCAAATTAGGTTGTTACATTTTTTTCTGCTTTAGAAACCTCAGCTGTTTAAATCTTAACAATACAGCTACATCAATTTTTCAAATCCTGGTATATAAATTTCTTTATCTTGTGGGTATTCCTTTATTTCTAGGGCAATATGCAGCACATACCATACCTATTAGCTGTTGTTCCCAGGTCCATCTAGGGTATGCTCGCCACACAGTTTTAAGTGCAGTGGTTAAAATAGTTGATCCTTCAATTATATGTTCTTCACTGTTCCATGCTCCCCTAATGGGATAGTATCTTCTGTCAATCTAGAAGTTTTAAACAAGAACATCAGTCTGCCTGTAAACAAAGGTACCAATTTTGTTTTCTTCTATTCACACATAAAGAAAAATTCTACAGACAGTCCTCGACTTACAACGTTTCAAGTCACAACTTTTTGCACCTACAGTGTTTATAAATTGACACCCTGTTTCAACTTTATGACATCAGTTTCGACTTTACAACGCTTGATCCAATGCAGCGCCATGCCAGCTAACAAGTTTGCTGAGTTGCTCATCTCCCTGGAGAACATCTGTCCAAACTTCCTTGGATACTGTCTTTAAGAAAGCAGGCAAGACTCCAGAAAAACCTGCAGGCAAGACTCCTGCGAAGACTCCAGCCAAGAACCCTTCAATAAGTCCAGTGAAGAGCCTTTCAAAAAGTCCAGCAAAGTCACTTCAAAGAAGTCCTTCCAAATCAATGTGATTGCTATTTACAATAGAAATACATTAATGTAGCTATGTTACTCATCTATAATTGATCGAGTACAAAATTGTGGGGTATTTTCGGTGAAAATAGGGTATTGGGCCTTGGTTCAGGAACCAACCCCCCATTTATAACATTGTTTCTTATGTGAAAATTGGTTCCACGTTACATTTTGATTTAAGACATGGTTTTCAGGAACCAATTGTGTTGTAAGTCCGAGGACTGCCTGTACTTCAGTACTTGCGACTTTTACGTTTCCTTTTCTTCCTTCTGTACCTGCATCAAGCCAAACTTAATTCTCTGACGGTCCCAGCCATTCTCTAGTAGATGACCGACACGACTCCCTACAGAGATGATTGCAGCAATCAATGATGATTCTAAGCACAGGTTTTTGGCAACTCTCCTAATAATGGTTCTATATGGCCTTAGACGTATTATGTCAATTTCAGCAATTTTTTCTGAAGCAGAAACACCTGTAATAAATACAAAGATGAATGTGTGGTTTATGTGCATTCAAATTTTATTGAAAAAACCCTCATTTTCCAGATAAATTGGCATTCCAAAGCTGTATTATGGCTAGAAAAATGCAGACAATAAATGTCAATCACAGCACATCAAAACATGGTTCCTAATTTTTTTAATCCAGATGGCAATATCCTGCATGTATTTCTGAACCAGTAACAAAGCGATGCAGGGAGTTTTTACAATTCTTAGGCAGCCTTGGACATCTCTCTCATCTCTCACATTTGCCTATTCCTGTCTTTTTTCCTATTTCCCTCTTGGTAAACATTTTAGCAGTTAATTTCCAGAGGGACTAAGCATCCACAGTTCCCATTTACCACAGAACATATGAAAATCTAGCCATAAATTAATAAATCTGGTGATATTTATGGTTGATGACTTTTATTTAAAAGAATAAAATAATACATCAACCTATATGAATGGCTAGTTTTAAAACATTTTTAAAATAAGTAATGTTTATAAGTGTTGTAACAGTTTAAAAGGGTTGATAAGTATCTGTATTTAATAAAATAGTTATTTGCTTCTTTGCAGGCACAAAAAGTTTTATGAACTTGAACTAAATATAAGAATCACTTCAAACATCGGTGAAAAACAGCCATCTCTGTTGTGAAACAATACATCCATTTAGCAGGATAAGGCAATCATACAAGACACAAAATGAAGCACAGTATTGTATTAAATTAAAACTGTGAGGGATAATTAGGTAGATAAAATAAAATGATCCAGTCTGGGAAGGAAAGTGGGGATAACATTTTTTTCTTACAAAGAGTTCTCTGGGATCTTTAATTACGCAAGGTAGTGGGAACTCTTCTTGACATCTCTTTCCTCCAAATCATTACAACTCTGAGGGAAGAGTGCTACCTATTGGCTGATTTCCCTGCTTTGCCTTCTCCAAGAACCTACCCAGGTGGATGGTATTGCAGTTAGGGCAGGAATGGGATACAGAATGAAATACAATATGAAAGTCTCACACTTGAAACAGGGCTCTACACCCAATACCCAACCTCAGCTGTAACCTGCTGTCTAGCTGGCCTCAAGATTATATTTGCCTTTGACAGATGAAGTCCTGGCCCCATAAAATTCAATGAGCCTTTTGCCATTTCCTTCTACCTGGCTGGGAATTCATCTATGAGTCACTGGTTGTCACAATGAAGTGCAGGCTTTTTCTTTGGTTTCTGTAGCATAGTTCTTCCCCAATAGGAGTGAAAGTAAAAAGGCTTCTTTAGAACCTTCTGATAAAACTACAGGAGAATGAGAAGGAAGTCTCAAAATGGGGCACTCCATAGTAGCATCACTACAGATTTGGGGCCTGACTGATTTGGGCCTACAGACCAGTGGCTGGCAACCTTAAGGGCTAGGGACAGACATTCAAAAAGCCTGAGCCTGAATTGATTCAATCTTTGCAGGTTAGTCTAACCTGCCTAGGTTGAACCGGTTTCCAACTGAACAGACATTCTCTCTGGACTGAGGAAATGCAGGCACATGCTTGCAGTGGCTCAGGCTAGAAGCTGGGGGCTGCCAGAGCAGCCCTCCCTTCCTTCTATAGTGCTGAGCTGAAGCGGGGAAAGCCAGACCCCAGCAGGATGCTTTGATTAGGGAGGGGTTGTGCCCCTCCCCACACACAACCAGCAGCTCAACAGGGAATTGATAACAGTGTTTATCCGCCCTAACTCAGTGGTTATCACCCCATTAAGAAAACAAAGGGGCATTACCAACTACCTGTTGATTCTCCTTTTGTCCTGCCACAACTTGGACTCTAGCCAGAATCTGGTCTGCTAGCTAATGCTGATGTGTCTGTAAGGCAGAGGGGACAGGGAAGGGAGGGGGGGAGCAGGCAGGTGCCTGTAGTCTGTGCCAGAGCTGGAGCCAGGGAGCAGAGGGGAGGGGCCAGCTCTTCTGTGGAGCAGAGAGCCCCGCTCAGCCCAGAGAGCATGCCGGGGTGCTGGGGGAGTCTGGTTTAACTTAAGCCAGCAAGGGGTCTGGGATAGCCATTGCATAAACCGGTTTGACCCAAATCAGTTAAGTCTGACACTACATTTAACCAGGTTTATCTCAAACTAGTTTCAGTCAGTCATTTTCAAACTGGTTTATGTGCACTGAATATCTGTTCTGTTACAGGTTTAAACCAGTTTCTGATCACTTAAACCAGTTCATGTGTAATGTCTGTCTCTAGCCTAACAAGCCACAAGGTGGAACAAGCCAGCTCCTGTTCGATGTGGGCCAGGTGGCTTTGACAGTGTGTCAGAGGTGGGTGGCTTTGCTTGCACCCATGCTGAGGCCAGGCAGCTGGGAGCTGTGCCCTCACTGCCACTGCTTTCCCTAGTCCCACACTGCTTAGCTGTGGCATAGGCTCAGACCCTAGCCAGTGGGGAGCTGCAGTGCAGCTGGGAGGCAGGAAGCTTTGCTTGTGGTTTTGCTTGTAGTTGCACTGGGGTCAGGCAGAAAGATTTTGTGCTGCGATCGGGGAGCTGGAAGCTGTGTCCGCACTGCTGCCTCTTCTCCCCATACCTCTCCTACTCTGCCCCCAGTCGCCTCCCAGCAGCTTCCCACTGACTAGAGGCTGTGATTGCACCACAGGCAGAGAGCAAGGGGCTGGAAGAAGTGATAGTGGCACAGGCTCAGCTTCCTGCTGCCTGACCTTAG